CCCTCATTGCTATTCATACACCTACCGTCTGGTTGTTCGATATCTCGGGGAAAGAAGAACGACGGGAGGATGGCGAAGGGCCGGCCCATTTAAAGTCGCGCGCTTCCAATCTCAATTCAAGAACCAGATCTATATACCGGGTGAATCGTTCGGTATCGTCGAATGTGATACTCGAACGTCTTAGTTTTCGAGTAACGCAGGAGGCGTCGACGTTTCGAAAGTGAGAGGGTGCGAAAAATTTCAGCAGCTGTATCGAAGGTGCCCTCTAATTTTGGGAAAGCAGCTCTCCCTTTCGTCGAATCTTGGAATTATATCGAGGTGTAATTTGGTTCTTTTTATTATCCCGAAAGCAAATTAATTAGTGCTGTCAATATAATATCCGGATATAGAGATGACCGGTTGGCTAAAGGGGTAAGTTTAATAGTATTAAAGGGGTTAATTGATTATTTATCTTGTTTTCTAACGGGTTATAGAATCGAGCAAGCGGAGATTTCAAGCAAAGATGGTTGTGAAATTCCTTGCTTGCTCGATTCTGTATCCTGTTAGAAAACGGCGGTAGTAATCAATTAGCCAACTTATCTCTCGAGCCAACTGGCCCCGGTCTCCCCTACACATTCATATTCTCATATAGCGCAGATATTCCAAAGACACCCTAAAGATATCCCAACGATATTCGAACATCTCCGCGACGTGTTTAGAATGTCTTTTGAATATTCGTGCTGTACGGACGTCGAACATCGCCCTGGCAGAAAATAGTAACGAGTCAATAGTTACAAACTTGAATTACGGTTCGTACGTCAGTTGTTATTGTTAGAAAGATCAATCATTCGTTAGGTGTGAAATGAAAATCCGTTAGGTCTGAAATGAAGATGATTCAATTAAATCTAATATTAACTGTACATTCTTTCGATTGGCCGAATAGCCGGATGATCGAAATTGGCGGAATTAGAATGAATAGGAACAGTAACATTCGGATAACAGGAGCGAGCGAGTCAACGTCCTCGATGATGAGACGAAACTTTGTGAACGACGAGCAATCTCGATTAGAATCCGATCTGTCTGTTCGTCCGGGTCGCCGTAACATTCAGAACACTCTTCCGTTTCGCACCGGTGTCGTGTCGCACCGTGGAACCGGGGCTGATTTTTCCAGACTGCGGGAACGCGACGTCGTCGTCCGCGTTGATCCGAGTAATCGCTGAATCGTATTAGCCAGCAGTTTCGTCGCTCCGCCGCTCGGCCATTGTCATCGACGGTGAGAGACACGAGCGTTTACAATTAATTCGAAATCCCGCGGCAAAGGGGACGCGGGATTTCTTCACTTGGCTTCGAAGCTGAGGCGGTCTGTTACGCCGAGAACCAAACTAAATTGTGTTCGTTTGCGCATTATGTCCGTGGAGTCGGGGCTAATTGCGTTATAACGTCGTTACCGTAATAATTAATTGTTCGTTTATGTTATGCCGTGCTGAAAACTGCTCTCGACCAGTCGACGCATTCCACAACTGTTAATGCTGTATATCGTTGCTGTGTATGTGTGTTCTGCGTACGGTGTGCGTGTATGCCGCATTCATCGCTCGTACATATGCAACCGCCGGAGCGCGCGATTCATTCGTCAAACGCAACGCAAGAGACACCATTTGTCACACATGCGTGTGTGTGATGCGTGTGTGAGCTATACTTACGTACTGCGCGCGTGCACACGTCGCACGAGTCCGAGTCTTAACGTTAACCTTAAAGTACGATTGCGAGAGGCACGAGCGAAAGCTCGTCGTCGATCCTGGATCGGTGTCGGTCGCTGTCGCGAAAATCGACGATAGAGGGTGAATTTACGAGGGAAACGCGGAGGAAATGCTGACATTTCAGCAACGATATTCTTCGTCGGGGAGAGACGGGGGGGGGGGGGTAAATTTTNATTTAATCGCGCGGCGATCGATTCTCTGGGAAGACGATGGACGTGGATATTCGCTTTCGCCGTTGTAAAGCATGTTACCGCAATTAAGATATTAAGCGCGCGAAGCTTCCTTGTGATTAATTGCGAAGAGCTCCCGCCGAAATTACGCGCCCGTATCAGGAAGTCTCCCCGGCGTCTCTAAAAAGTCGCGCCGATATAAACGCGTTTAAATTATTAATTATTAACCGTGGTTAGAACTCGCGGTTATCTTCATCTTGATGCCCGCAACTCGCTCTCTCTTTCTCTCCCTCCCTTCCTCCCGCCCTTCTCCCTCGGTTAATTACGAAGAAAGAAGCTTATCCGAGGGTGAGGATAATGTTCCCCGACGAGACTTAAACACCGCGGTGTATATCGTTTAAAAGTAATTGCCCCGTCGAGCAGCATCCCACTTCTCTCTCGCAACTTTGACGCCGGGGAAAAAAATGAGACGGTAACGGCAAGTGGCTTCAATTTAGCGCGCGTCAGTTCTTTGCCGAAAGTCCGCCCTAAACGGGGGAAGGGGGGAGAAGAAAGAGGGATGTTGAGAAACGAGGCCGCTCGTCCGGAGGCGTTTTGACAATGATTAACCTCGCGCTTTGTCTCGAGAATTGGAGAGATCGCATCGAGATTACGCGTACAAAACGCGCGTTCGATCGTCGTCGTTAACATTAATTATGGTTTGAATCTGAATCGATTAACTCAACGGGATTGACCGATCGTCATTGATCGTTTCAGCTAATTCGCCAATGCGATCGGTCAATTTCGTCGAGTCAATCGTCGGTTAGATTTACAATCCCTGGCCATGTTATTAGACGCACCTTAATTTTGTAAGGTAAATCATAATGGTGGAAACCAGTGATTTAATTGATATTCTTTTACTATGGCACGCGTTAAGAAATGTTTAAAATGTTTGTGCGTATACGAATATTTAAGGACGCGCGGGGGTAGGGAATTTTACACGTTCGTGGAAACTGCAGTCGGTTTCAATCTCGATCCTTGGTTCGTCGCGAATCGGTGTCGCCGCAATCCAGGATCGACGAAGACGCGCTCCAACGCACATATACATCGACAGAAAGGAACCAAACAAGAACTTTTTACAAGATATATATATATATATACATATGTATGTATGTATATATACACACACAGAGAAACAGACACGCAAAGGATTAACTCCGTGAACTCAACGTAGATACGATAGAAGACTTCGTCATAGGTATTCAAAATTACTTCACAACACCGACAGTCGCCTTTCACAAAGTGCTAGTATAACTATACTCGTTCATTCATGTCACAACAGAGCCTGTTCGAATTTCAACTCACGATAAAACTCATCAACTCATCAAAACGTCACGTGCACGTATTTACATGTGTTTTGCGCGTAACGTGAATTTATCGTCAAATCATATCCGGTAAAAATTTATCGACGAATTGTTTATTCTCCCTTTGTCGTGTACGCGCGAACAAATTTGATTCCGGCAGCTGGAACTCGACAGAGAATTTGTAATTTGCAATGCCGGTGCGGCCGCTTCGGCACTACTCGCGAAAAACTCACTTCGAGGAGGTAACGTGAATGATTACTTTGTACGCTCTTCAAGAGAGAGAGAGAGAGAGAGCGAATAAAGTTCATATTTCTACAATGAAATTATACAACACGCGTGCGATGGGTGACGGCAGGAAACCGACGAGGATCCGGTCACGTCACACCACGTAATTACGTGCACGATAAAACGTATGTACGAACACACGGATAGAGGAAGAAAGAGAAGATAGAACTTTACGAATCGAGTGTATCGTAACTGGACTCACCAACGCAGGGATTGTGGTTCACCGTCGTGAAGATCTTGTCGCATCGCCGTCTGTTACTATTGTTCGGGCATATACAGCCGAACATCGGCGACAGTCGCAGCTGCGTCCAGGATTCGTGGCAGGCGTCCCTGAAACAACGTAATGAGATATAGGACGCGGCTATGAATATCGGGAGACTCGTTCGGTCTGCTTCTGTGCCGGGAATACGTCGCGGAAACGCGAGTTTTATTACGTCGGTTCCGAAAGCTCGATTCAACTTTTGATATGACTTTTGTCTAATGTCAAATACGATGCTGATAATGTCTCGCCGCCGAACCGTCGGCGAAAATGAATAAGGACACGTGGTCACGTGGCCGACGAATAATTTCTGGCTTTCATCCGAATGCAACGAAGTTAAACTGGAACTGAAAAATCGAGACGAACTTTTTGACTGATTCAGTCAGCTCGAATATGGAATACTCGTGGAAAATTTGTTCATAGAGGTAATAAAAGTTTTGGGATATATTGAGAAGAATGAGAGGAAATAAATGTCGATAAAAGCCGAATTGCGGAATTTACCGAGACATTATTAAGTCTATCAAGTTTATTAAGGTATACCAAAATATATAGCAGACGACAGGAAATTATCTAATTACATTTCTTCTTTCCTCTTTGCAAAAGTCTCATCGCTATTTTCATTTGAAATATGATGATGTAAATACAATTCGAAGCGAGGTGGAAACGCGAGTGGGAAAAAGATGAGACCCGTTGGAATATTAACATACTTTAATTTCAACCGTTAAAAGTAATAAAAATCGTCGAATGTATCGGGTATACCTCCACGTGATATAATGTGAAATCAAGTTACGATGTAACGTATACGGCCGATGGAAAGTGGGACGCGCGCGCGCGCTCGCATCGGGACATTAACCAGCTGAATGAGAGGCGGACGAGAGGATCTCGCGCGGCGCGTCTACGCGCGGGATTTGTAAGCGCATTAATGGGGCTATTCTGGCGCATTGTAATCGTGTGTGACGACTGCTTTACAAATATTATTAATTAATCCCGATGAATTCCCGCCTCGCCTTCGGCCGCGCGTAAATCTCCTACGCGCGGAGGATTAATGATTCCCTATCAAATATCGGCGTTTTGCCAAGCACATTGACCTACATCTGGCCCACCCCAATAGCCGTCAATAAATATTAAAATATACGCAAGCCACGATATTCCCGCCCAACCGCTGCCGTACTTCCGATATTCCGCAATATTTTCGCACGCGCGCGCTTCTGCGTCCCAATAATTCGTGGTAATTGGAAGACATTAACGATGCGATACGTATCGAAATTTTAATACACGCGTAATTAACGATTCTTACTCTACGCGGAGCCAATGCCGCACACGGGGAAGCATACGGCGCTCTGTAAATCCGCCGACTTTTACCGGTGCCGCGTCTCATGTAATAGGCGAATGATCGTGAAATATTATAATCTCGCGTCTATCGTTACTTATACTGTGTGAGAACCGCGTATATATTATCATAGATTCTATAATAACTCGCCGAGAGATCTCGAGCAATTTCTAATTAGGTCAACGGAGAAATTCGATGACTTCACGATGAAATCATGATCAAATATACATGAGGAAATATCGAGAATTCCGAAGTAAAAGCAATTTCGCGCGGTAATAACGTAACAGTGCGCACTATCATTATAATAGAGCGCGATTTCAATATTTCATATTTACGGCGCTATTCGCGTTTAATGTTATACTTAGCTGAAACTGATGTGTATATAAATCAATATTATAATATTGAAACAATATCTCCATGTTTAATCATTAAGAATACGCTTTCGGAATATACACGGATATAAACAGTTCGAAATATAGGAGAGATCCGAGTGTATTGCTTTTTAGATTAGAATTGGAAAGCGATATTTTTCGGATATTCCCGAAAGTTTGATATTGAATACGTTGCGTTATTGGAGTTTGAAAAAAAAAAAACAAAACAGAAGAAAAACGCGAGGTAATCTCGTTACTAAATATATTTACATCCAATAATTCATTTACAAATTAAAATATTACTACGTTCAAGTAAGCACTTACTGTAAGCTATTCAAATATGATCGGGTATATAAATATATAAAATTAAATAGATAAGATAAAAATATAACTTGATTTAAGAGACTGAAAAACAGGTAATTGTATTTACTTCATTCTAGCGCTTTTTTGCAGAATAAAGAAATCTGTCCGACGTCCACACAAGAAACACATAAAAAACAAAGCTGTTATGATATCGCTTAGATTTAACGTTTCAGCATGGCTTCTTTCCACTCGTCGTAGATCTTCCGTTAGCTTCGCGCGGGAAATCGATCGTGTAACCACGCGCGCCATATCCGGCGAGCGATCGAGAGCTGAGAGAGACCCACTCTACTCTTTCCTTCCCTTTCCCTGTCGAAGGAAACGTGGGGAAAGTTTACGCGAGATCCTACCAATTGACTTTCGAACTCGAGCGTTTACACGGGAACACTTAACGGACTTTCCCCGCGCGCGCGCACCGATAATCCGTCTCGAAGTAACCGCTGACGTAGTTCGATGCACCCGATGATGATGCAGCGAGTGATTGAATTTATTCTAGTCTCTTGACGGTGACGCGGAATTATGTTCGATCGTGTTGCACGTGGGATTTTGTGGACGGAGATTAGTGAGGAAGGACGATAATTAAGCCTAAAACGCTCCAGACGCGTCTAATTAAGCTCCGTTTAGAAATATTGAAATGTTCATCGACCAGCGTGGAAATTTCGCGAACTTCCAGGCGAAAAGCGATAAACCACAGTGAAAAAAGGATTTGGTAATAAATACTAAAATTTAATGAATATTTGCCGACCAAGTATTTAATCACCGCAAACCAAATAATTTAGTTCCGTACGTATATACAGTACGGCAGTTCTGTATATTTAGTGCACGGAACTAAATTGTTTGGTTGCGGCAATTGAATATTTGGTCGGCAAATATTCTACATTTTAATACTTATTACTACATAATCCTTTTTTCAGTGTAAGTTATCGCTTTTCGTCTGAAAGAAGTTTGCGCTGGTCGATGAACATTTCAATATTTCTAAACGAAACTTCACCAAATGTTGGTGCTTACTATCAAATCCTTTTCTCAATATAAACGAAATGAGAGTACTACAATAACGAAGACAACAACAATCATGTGTGATTTATTGATTCGTTTGCGTTTTCGACCAATTTCTCTTTTCTAGCGTATGTTGATGTTTAATCCGTTTCGGACCTCGGCTCAAGTTTTTCTCGTCGGGCTAATGCGGTACTGGTCACTCTTGACGAGCATAGGGAATAAAATGAAAAGAGAGAGAGAGAGAGAGAGAGAAAAAATGTACACACACACACACACACACACACACATATAACACATATAACACGACGAGCGCAAGGAAAGTGTAGGTAAAAGGAAATTCGATGTGGAGACTCTTGAGCTCAAAATTATTTGGGTTAATGGCACACACGCTACGGTGAATCCTCCGCGTCGAATTAGAGGTCAAAGGAGGCAAAAGCCGAGCGGATGGTAAAGCTGGAACTGAAGGTGGACCAGCCGGAGGAGGGAAGGCGAGGGGAAAGAGGATAGGTAGGATGCATCAAAGGGTGCAAAGGTCCACGTAAGAACGAAAACGCGAGTCACGTTTCATTCCGCATCGCGTGATTTTGTTGGAGTTTTTCCCCTCTTTTTCGTTTTCTCCCATACAGACGATGTCGCGGAATGACCTCGTTATCGCGTATAAAATTCGACCTTTCAAGTGTCTTGTAATTTACCAGGTGTAGAAGTATGAAACCGGAATTTTTTTGTAAAAATTACACGTCTGTTGTTTGAAAATGATAAAAAATATTTTATTCAAAATAATGTGCATCGCTATTTATACATTTTTCCCACCTCTCCGGCAGTTTATGAATGCCACGCCAAAAAAACATTTCTTCTTTTGAAGCGAACCAGCTATCGAGCCATTTTCGTACATTTTCATACGAATTGAAGCGTTGTTCAGCGAAAGCGTGTCCCATTGATGCGAATAGATGATAATCGGACGGAGCCAAGTCTGGAGAATAAGCCGCATGCGTTAGTATTTCCCAACTGAACGCCTCGATCGTTTCCCTGACCCGTTTTGCTGTGTGTGATGGGGCATTATCATAGAGCAAAATGACTTTGTGTTGCCTTTTTCCATATTCCGTCGTTTTTCACGCGATTTAAATCGATCATTTGCTGTTGGTAGCGATCAGTGTTAACGGTTTCACCAGGTTTTAGCAGCTCATAATAGATTACACTCTTCTGATCCCACTAAACACAAAGCATTGTCTTCTTTCCAAAGCGACTTGGTCTTGCAGTGGATTTCGATAGTTCGCCTGGATTCACCCATGATTTCTGACGCTTAGGATTCTCAAAATATATCCATTTTTCATCACCTGTCATGATACGATGGAGAAATGACTTTCTTTTGCATCTGTCGAGCAGCATTTCACAAGTGGTTTTTCGATTTTCTTGCTGTCTTTCATTCAGTTCATGCGGAACCCATTTTCCCACTTTCTGAATCTTTCTCATGGCTTTCAAACGAATTGAGACAGCTTTCTGCGTCACATTCAATTCATCCGCGAGTTCTTGTTGAGTTTGAGTATCATCTTCATCCAATAAGGCTTGCAATTCGTTGTCTGCGAACTTTCTCGGTGGTTTCCCACGCTCTTCGTTTCTCACGTCAAAATCACCACTTTTGAATTTTTTGAACCACTCGAAACACTGTGTTTTACCAAGAGCATGTTCACCGTAAGCTTCGACAAGCATTCGATGCGCAGCAGTTTTCTTCAAATGATAACGAAAAACCAATGCTGTCCGCAAATCGTAGTTCGTAGGCACAAAACTCGACATGTTTAAGGTTATAAAAAAATATACCGGTGTATGGAACTTGGGTTGTTATGTGTTGAAAATCTTCGTCAGCTGTTAGATGATGGCGTTGAAGAAGCGGTCTTACGGTCCCTAAACTGATGGCTAGCACTATCTACAGGGAAATTCCGGTTTCATACTTCTAAACCTGGTATATTTCAATGGAGAAGTGGGTCGTATTTATATCGACTTCGAAGTAGCGATGAAT